TTATTCATTCTCATCTGCCACTGAGACAGTTTGTCCTTTTTGGACACAGTCAAGCGTAGCCTCCAGGCGAGTTTGACAAATGAATTTCCACGGTGCTGTTTTTAGGGTAGAGACGGGGCAAACTGCTGACAGTAATTGATAGCCAGCGTGGTAAATAGTGCAGAACTTTTTTAATAGAAGTACAAGAGGTATTTAAATATTGTAGTAATGGAGAAATATTAAGCAGGGGAGGGAGAGGTTTGAGGGTGTGTGTGTGTGTGTGTGTGTGTGCATGTGGGTGTTGGGAAGTGAATTAGCTGGTCTGGCTTGCAAAGGTCCCTTTGCAATGGTAGATATTGAAGGGAGGTTTTCTATTTGTCGTCCGTTTTGGTGTGTGGGTGTGCGGGGGTGGGGGGGGGGGGCAGGGGCGGTGGGGGGGGGCAGGCACCACATACCAATGATCCCCAATCAACACAAATGATCCCCACAATCAAGAATTTTACTGCAATGGCTACTGGGAAATAATGTGTGCCGAGCCCCCAACCCTCCCCCCCCGCAAAGGCCCCTCCCTGCAAAGAGAAGCTGATTACTCTGCACGATCAGTCTGAGGAGCAGAGCTCAGTTCTCACCCTGTCACTCCAGCGTGTTGTGGGCAGGAAATAATCAATACGTTTAGCTCTAAGGGAAGTTTAGTGTTTCACACATGAGCAGATGAGTCATGAAATTACACAGGCAGGGAAGTTTGCCTGCTGAAGAAATCGCAGAGCAACTCACTAGCGTTTAAGACTGTGTGAGCACTGGGACAACAGCAACCGAACCTCACAGTATGTGGCTACAGCAAATAAAGCTAATATGTTCTAATTTTTATTTTGTTTTCGTCTATTCGTTCATTTTTCCCTGACATTTTGTTATTGTAGCACAATGTTTTTTTGATAGTGCTCAAAAAACCCCCCTCAAACTGCTTTTTCTTGTCAAGAAAAAATTTCTGTCAAATACGAATTCATTAAGTGAAATATGACCATAAAAATGACTTTAAGGTGTGCCCTCTAAAACAGGGGTAGGGAACCTGATCCACGGAGGGCCGGTGTGGGTGCAGGTTTTCAGGATGGCCTCTCAATCAGCCAATAACAGAGGGTCCCCAGGACTGGAGCTGAGAACCGCTGATTTATTATTGCCCGATTGAGAGGCCATCCCAAAAGTCCGCACCCACACTGGCTCTCCATGGATCAGGTTCCTCACCCCTGATCTAAAACCATGTAGCCACCCTCTTCTCCTGCCTGAAGTTGCCACAGTTCACAGTTCAGGCCAGAAGAGCAGAACCTCGACCTTATTGGCTACGGTTAGCAAGTTGTGGAGTTTCCAGGCAGAAGATGATTAGGAGACATGAGAGAAAAAAAACAGTTTAAAGGCCTTGGATAAGCAAGATGTCATCTGAACGGCAGGGGGACGGGAAGGACGACACTTACATTTGGAACAGCAGATGTAGGAGAACAGTGGGGGGTATTTGGAGGAAGAGCTGAGACCGTGGGCGGGGGTAGTAGTGGTTGCACTGGGGCAGAGGTTGGGGGCGGGCAGGCAGGTGGGAGAGGGGGGCATATTTTCAACCCCAGCTCCCCTACCTCAATTGAGATTCCTCACCTGTGGCAAGAGGAAACCCGGGTTTGAGGCGACCCTGACGTTAATTGATCGCAAACGTTGTAAACAGTTCATAACACCTTATCTGCTTCCTGGTGCGAGCGCTGTCCCCTCGGACGAGGACGGGGGTGATTAATAGCGGCTATCACTCAATGTCCCGGTGCGCTGAAAGGCAGCCCCGCACTCGGCCCTCCTCTGCCGCCCCGATAACAAGCGGCAGGAATAATGAGGGGTGTCATTCCACTTTTCATTCTGATGGAAAGTCGTTACGGGAGTCAAAGCCGGGGCCATGCAGCCATGAATCAAGTCCGCTCTGCTATGAAATTAAAATCAAGCCGGGCAGACCGCCTGCTCTACCTGTGCCGGCCACTTAAAGGCACAGCCTCCTCCCTTCCTCTCCCGCCCCACTGCCTCCCCATCAGCCAGGTCTCCATCTCTCCTGTCCTGCTCCCTTCTTTTCCTTGGGTGGCATGGCTGTATTCGGCTTGTAAGGGGTGGAGCCCTGACTTCTTTTTCCAACCATAGGCTCTTCCTTGGGAGAGATCGGTCATGAGGAAGAATATGGTGCATTGTCCTTTGGTGGCATTACTAAGCAGCCCCGTGGCACAGAAGCTGTCGATCACAATCCAAGGCTGGATTTCCAAAGCTTCTCTGTAGCAGGGCCAAAGATCAGGAGCAACCTACATGAAAGGTCGCTTTGTGTGCCGGGAGAATCTGCGATCATGACATCCTTGGACACATTGTACTGGGTCAGCTATCACTAAGTCAGGGCTGGTTAGGACCTTCAAAGGTTTGTACTGGGTCGGCTATGTCTGATGTACGCTCACTCAAGGCTGGTTAGGACCTTTGACGTTCTGTCCTTTAATCATCTGAAAGCCCACAGTGTGCCAGTGCATGCATGCCGACTCATGGCCTTCTGCAGATTAAGCAGTCATACTTGCATTACCGGAGTTCCACTGATGCATCGAGGTGTACAGCTGTGAATGACGGTAGGTGAGACCTTCAGGCCGCGGGGATACTGTGAAATGGAGGGTCTGATAAGCTGTGCCATTTCACTTAGGCACTGCAGCAGCAACCATAACCAGAGAACAGGGTCGCAGTGAGCCTGGAGTCTATGCTGCTGGTGCCATTTCACTTAGGCACTGCAGCACCAACCATAACCAGAGAACAGGGTCGCAGTGAGCATGGAGTCTATGCTGCTGGTGCCATTTCACTTAGGCACTGCAGCAGCAACCATAACCAGGGAACAGGGTCACAGTGAGCCTGGAGCCTATGCTGCTGCTGCCATTTAAGGCACAAGGATGGGATGCCATCCATCGCATGGCGCACACACACACACACGCACACACACACGCGTGCACACACACACACGAACAGTAGATGATGACAATCAGTTAATGAAATGAATTACAAGATTACAAGTTAAGAATGCAGTTAGTATGAGCAATGTGAATTAGAATAAATATAATGCTGTGAAAGTCAGGTACATGCACATCATGAATGCAGCAGTTTTTATCCAACGGTTAGTCGTTTCCAGTTGTGCATACCTATATTTTGCCACCAGGGGGCAGTATTCTTTCAGAGCAGAGAGACCAGAGAAAGTTCATACAAGGTGAATCCATACAACTGCCTTTCTATCCTGGTTAGATAAGGTGGGCCACTAGTGGCTGAACTTGGGGCTTTGTGGGTTTGTAGCGTATGTGTTTATTCGCAGCCTTGCCACAACTTTAAAGCACCTGAAAGGTGAACACAGAGAAGATGGAGGTTTAGAGTTTCATATTTCCACCACAGATAAACAAACCTACCTCAAAACTCCCGCCTCATTTTATCTCATGACACCATGTGCTTAATGAGCAGTTCTTTTGCATTTTCGTCTTATATAGCCATCCAGTAAACAAATCTAAACAAAAGCAAAAATAGTTAAGTAAATAAATGGTCTGTGTCTAATTCTAGGATGTTTTTTTACTACTGTAAAAAATACTATACATGATGGCCAGGTTAGAACCAAGAATCCAGACTTGTGAAGTGCTGTCATTTTTTTAAAAGTTGTCACACAATACCTGCCTGTAGGTGGCGCCGTTACTTTGGTGGCACTTTTCTTTCTGCAGGTTTATGAAACTTTCTACCATTAAGAGCCGTTTATTCTTCTGGCATAAACCAGCATCTTGCCAGCAGCCTGCAGGCGGGGCCCAGGACATGCCTCACAGAGCTGCAGGCAGGGGGGCATCCACAGAGTCCCGAACGATAGTGGGGGGGGGGGGGGCTGCAGCAGCACATTAGCCACTAGATGAGCTTCTTGAGGACGGGGGATGTCCAGCTGGGCAGGGGGAGAAAATAGCTTGAAGCCACGCCGGGCACATCAGAGTTTCATAGGTGGCACTGTGCCTACACAGGGCACAAGGATGGCGCCAGCCTGGGGGAGCCGGCACGGTGGGGGGGCGTAATGAAGCTTCACTCCCACCCTTAGGCTCGCTCACTCTTAATGGGAACGAAGGGGCAGTGAGCAGGGCGCTCACTGCTATAACTAACAAGTTTAATGTTATTGCGAAAACAAGGCTCTCACAGACAGTTAGGAAGCAGCGACAGGCAGAATAAGGGCTCTCTGTCGCTCGTTAATACATTCATTAAGTTTAAGTCCATAAAACTTAGGCGGCAGCTGTAGGAAGAGCTCCCCCTACAGAAGGACCAGAGAAATATGACTGCGCGTCTGCTCCTTCCACAGAGACGGCTAAACAACATGGACAGCGACAGCCCGTGTGCACTGGGGCATGGCGCTGACATTCAGGAAATGAAGATGGCCTTTGGAAAATGAGTTTGAGCTGCTTAGTAACAATATTTATCCAAACAGCTCACGGCTGCCTTTGCTGTTGTTTACACTCCAAATATCCTAATCCCCAGTATCTGACTGGGTACAAAGCCTGTTAGGGCAATAATTCATGTTGTTTTTTTGCAAAAAAAAAAAACACAGGCAAGTAAATTTTATGTTTCGCCTCGTAATATCGGCAAAGCTCAAGCTGTCGATTTAATATGAGAGCACAAATTATTAATTGAAGGCATTTCTTAAACAATGCCATTATCTTCTTGGGGAACCTCCTGAAATTGAGATAACCCCTGTCCGGGATGCACTGGGGAAAAAAAAGATAATCAAATGAGTGCGTCTGACAACGTTTGCACGTGAAAATAATTTATTAGTGGGAGACGGCCGGGCGCTGTGAGGGATTCCTGCTCTCACACGTTGACGCCCATCAGGTTGACGGGCCTATCGCTGTAGCGTTTGGAGATGTCAGCTTCGATCTGCGGGGCACAAACACAGATCACAGGAGAAGCATGTTAGATGTTTCATCTGAAGGCATCAGAATCAGAGCTTTGCGATCCTATTCAGCATTAGGCTCCGCAAAGACGTCAATGAAGCAATTCTGGCTGCGTGAAACGGCTCAAATATCAAGTTGCATTTTAACGGCACACAAATGATTTAATTGATGATTTTTATCTTTCTTGCCAAACTCCACGTTATAAAACAGGCTCTGGCAGCAGTCGAATCATTTTCATTAAAGGCAGCCGACACTAGAGGTGGGCACTAGTAACCGATTAACAAGCTGACTGGGAAGTATTTCCATATAAAGCAGCTGCTTTCTGATGCAAATTGGCACTGCGGCATTGCACTGTTCCGACAGGACGTTAATTTTCTCGGTTGGTGATGATGGAACCTCCTTCACAAAATTACCCTAAAACAGCAAACGGGGAGTACAGCAAGACCGGTCGGAGGTTAGTGTGTTCTGCTCTCCGTCTGAAGTCCACATATGAAAGAAATAAACGTACTTGGTTATATTTGAATGAACCGGCAGACTGAATCGTACGCTGATTATAATATGTATTAATAATTGTCTGTCTTCCAGCTCACTAATGATTTCTTCCCTTCAATGAAATCTGAATTAACAAGCATTATTTAATAACTTTGCCAAGGGCCAAATACCAGGAAACCTCACGCGTTAAATTGGTATCGTTCTCAATGAGCAAGAGAGTCAGTTTCGATGGCTTGGTGACATCAGAGGCCTGCTTTGACGCTGCTGTTATAATCATTTATACTTGTTTTGTACACTTTCGTGAGCGAGCTGGGTCCATGTTGAGGATAGGCCTGCTGAAGTGTCCTCTTCCTTTCCTCTGACAGGAGGTGAGACACTGACAAGTTCTGCATAATGCAGAGACACTGAAAACAGGAGCATAAAATACTCCTCACCGCTGCTGTGGGTCGCTCATAGCAAAATTTTTAATGGAGCCGCAGTCTAGTCCGGGGGTAAGCGATGTAGTTGTAATCTCCATATACCTGTTAGTTTAACATAATGTTCCTATTATACTTTGATAAATTTTACTCCACTACACAGATTCGTCACTGAGAAATTACTTTAAAAATCTGACTGTGTAACATGAACAATATAAGCCAATATCGTGAAGTCATTTTCATTTTGGATCATACCAGCCTCTGCAGCTGGCCTGCGAGCGAGGGGAAAGCGGGCCGTACCAGCCTCT